AGTGTAAGTCCTCCAACTTATTCTTTTTCAAAATTATTGTTAAACCAGCATAAATCCTATAAATTTCTACGTAAGTATTAGAATCAGTTTGTCAAAACAAAGCTTACTGAGGTTTTAATTATGTTGTGTTAAATCTACTAGCTACCTCGGGAAGACGTGATTTTTAAATTTTTTTTAAATTTTTAAATTTTTAAATTTTTTATTTTAAAGAGTAAAAGGGATAACATAATAATAGGGGGGGGCTTACCAAATTACAGACAAAGTGGTAGGAAATTATCAATGGTTATTGTTTTACATATTGTTATCTACAACATAGTTTCTCAGGAAAACAAACAGACAAATAATAGTGAGTTACAGACAAAAGAGGTAGGAGATTATCAATAGTTATTGTACTATACTTTGGTATCTTCAAAGTGGATTCTAAAGAAAATAAGAGCTATACATGAGTGACCTATTGAATAATCATTAACTATTCTCATGGTTGTTGTAGGAAACACATAATAATAAACATGCATCCATTTACAAAATAGGATAGGAACAATACAAACATTACAGAGTTATGGATAGATTAGTAGGTGATTTTTTTAATAATATTTAATCTTCCCATCCATGAACACAGTATATCTCTCCATTTACTTAGATCTTTAATTTATTTCAGCAAGGTTTTGTCATTTCCAGTGAAAAAGTCTTACAAATCTCTTAGTACATTTATCCAATTCCATATCTCTGATACTCTTATAAATGGCTTTTTTATTCCAGTTTTCAATTATACCCTGCTAACATATAAAAATATGACTGATTTTTATATATGAGCTGGGACTCTACAACCCAGCTAAACTCATATGTTGGTGCTAGGAGCCCTTTTGTAGATGCCTTAGAATGTTCTGCAATCATTTGTCTGCAAATAAAGACAGTTTCACTTCTTCTTTTGTAGTCTGTATGTATTTATTCTTGAAACTGCCTTACTGTACTGACCAGGGACTATGCATTAGGGGAAAATAAAAAAGGAAAGAGCACACATCCTTTCCTTGATGGAGAAATATTATCCATTTGTTTATCACTAAGATAATTGGACGTTTATCAAAAATGTCCATCACGTTAAAGAAATCCCCTCCAATTTCTAATTTGCTTATTTTTTTTCCATAAATGCATATTAATTTCTCTATCTGTTGAGATGACATACAGATCTTCATTTTTATTGTTAATGTGAAGAAGCACTGATTTATAATTGCTTAATCAACCTGGCAATCCTAGTATGAACCCCATTCGATAACAATGCACTATTTGCTGTATTGCTGGGTTTTATTTGCTAAAATTTAAGAATTTCTGCATCTGTGTTCATGAAGGGTACTGGTCTGTAATTTTTTTGTTTGTAATACCCTCAGTTTTGGTGTAAGAGGACTAGTCTACAGAATGAGTTGAGGTGTTTCACCCTCTTCCATTTTCTGAAAGAGTTTGTATAGCCTCAGTAATAACTGTTCCTTAAATGTGTCATAGACGTCACTAACTAAGCCATCTGGGACCCTGAGTTTGCAGTGTGGAAGGTTTTTTTTGTTTTGTTTTGTTTTGTTTTTTTGGTTTTTTTTCTCCGGTACCGGGAACCAAACTCACGACCTTGCACTTGCCAGGCAGGCGCTTTGCCGCTGAGCTAAATCCCCAGCCCCTGCAGTGTGGAAGGTTTTTAACTACAAATTCAGTTCCTTTACTAGACGTGAAGCTCTTCCAGTTAGTTGAGGAAATTTGGTTAGGTTGTATCTTTCAAGTAATTTGTCCATTTCAAATTGTGGAATTTAATGGTATAAAAATGTTAAAGTATACAATTACCTTTTGTCAGCGCCACCGGTAGTAATATTGTATCATTCCTAACATTGGTAAGTTGTGTCCTGTCTTTACTATTCTGTTTTTATATTTGTTTTCTTTGATCATTCTGGCTTGATTCTGCTTACTTTGAGCCAACTTACTCTTCTAGTTTAAGGTGGAAAGTTGGGGCTTCGACTTGATGTCTTCCTAAAATTTAACTGTTAATGCGATGAATTTCCATTTGAAGAACTCCTTTAGCTGTATCTCACCACTTCCTTGGGTTTTATGCAGACTGAATTAAAAAATATACACGTAGCAAACAGAAATTTGAATACCTACTCCCTACCAGACACTGTGCTTGATACCTGACAAAATAACCCAACCCTTCCTCTCACCAAGCTTAGCAGAGAATACTTTAGCAGAGTACTAAAACCAGTGTTAGCTGGCAAGCACAAGGTCCTGGATTCGATTCAGGTACCAAAATAAATGAATAAATAAATAAACAAATAAATAAAACCAGTGTTAATGATTATCTTTTTAATACTTAGAAAGTAATTTAAGCAAGAAAGCATAACAAAGTTTTTTTAATTCTAATGATAAAAGTACATTCTGCTTTACAATAAACCTACCGTAGAGCCTCGTCTCCTGATCTTGCAAAAACTAAGTTCTAGGTTTGTGAAAAGTCAGCAGTTTGTAGTTCCACTTGCAAAACAAATACATTGTAGAGTCAGTTCAATTACTCACTTACAACTATCTGAATAAACTACACATTTCAACTTCATATAGAAAAAGTAAGTATTCCTATAATCCTGCCCTTGACTTATACAAATAATTTTTTTTTAAAAAGTCCATGCATTTCCAAATATTTTAACAAGTTATTTTATTAACAAAAAGAAAAAGAGGGGCTGGGGATTTAGCTCAGCGGCAAAGCGCCTGCCTGGCAAGTGCAAGGTCGGGAGTTCGGTTCCCGGTACCGGAGAAAAACCAAAAAAAAAAAACAAAAAAAGAAAAAGAAAAAAAGAACTACACTCCGTTCATTCTATCTAGCTAATCCTCAGTTTCAAAATACCCAGAACCCTAAAAACAAATCTGCCCTAATATTGAATAATTGAATATAAGAGCATGACAAAGCACTGGTTTCAGAATCATTTAAATGCCGACCTAATCCTATCAAATACTCATGTCTTCCAAAACACCACTGGTGGGTTATATGATACAACTAAGTAGAACTATTTTGGACATTTATCGACATAGAAATTTGATTTATATTTAAATCTTTATCCATCCAGTGGAACAAAAAGCAGCTCTGTACACTCCCCAGGCAGGTCACCCGCGTTTCCTGAACTTAGGGTTCTTCCTGACCTCATCTCTTGCTATTCCTCTGGGGCCCAAGTTCTCAACAACGCACACTGGGATCACCGGAGGAGCACAGAAGTGAAGCAACCAGAGCGGCCAGGCCGGAGTCTTTAAGAGTGAGGATTTCTGAAGGCCCGTAGGTCAGCGGTGGGGAACGTATGGCATGCATGCCTCAACGGGCTGCTTGTTATCACTGAAAGCAAAACGTTCTCCATCACTGCCCTAGGTGATTCAAATGTTCAAACTGGTAAAAAGACAGCAGTCGACTCTCTCCGAAGAGAGCTTCTCTGCTTCTCCTGGCCCTTGCCAATCGGGACCACCATACTTCAAAATCTAGTTCCTCTAAGGCTTTGCCCAGCCTGACCCCTAATCAGACACTAATTCAATCCGTCCCTTCCGAGTTCTCCGCTCACTTCTATTTCATAGCCAGAAATTCACAAGATAAAGTGTAAATAAATCTCTTGCTGCACTCTGGTCATTTCTTTCTTGTCCGCTTCTAAATTCCACCCAAAAAATAAGCCAAAGGGAAACCAATCAATATAATTTGATGAGCAAAGTTAAAATAGTCACGACCAGTTTGTTATTTAAAAGAAAGGGGTAGCTCCACGAGCCATTTGCAATTTTAGAGTATGTATGGTAAAATTATCAATTCCCAACAAACACCTACATAAATCTTCATCATTATCCACTGATTCCACCACCTGTTAATGTCACAGATTTCCAACAGGTTTTTAATTCTTTTCTAATTTTTATTTTTATTAGTATATGTTTGCGGTACATTCACCCTGGGGAACCGGTAACCTGTGTATCTTAATTCTTTTTACGTCCCTTAGATTTCCAATACCTAGTCACACTCTGGGTCCAAAGCCCTGCAGGACCTAAATCATTAAACTCTTCAGAGTCTCCAAACCCTGTGCTCCATTTGCCAAACCAGACCACTTCATGATAATTACCATTTCGTCATCTCAAAGGGAAAATAACACCTGCGTCAGTGTGAGGATTAAGCGGCAAACGCACTTTGGCACTATGCAGAGTGCTCTAGAAATTCTAATTTATTTACAGCAGAAAGTCTGCCTCCTGGGAACTCTGGGAAGAGCACAGGCAAGGGAGAAGCTGCGCGCAGCTACACGTTAACGCGCAGCAACGCCAGCCTCTGCCGGCAGGCAGAGGCAGGTCGATCCAAAAGCTACTAAGGAGCTCCGGCTGATCTCAGCTCCTGCATGGCAGAACTCACACACCTCAGACTTTGTGAACGGAGGTAGCTGCAACACAGATAAACCTCACCTCCTTGGGAAGCTGCTAAACAATAAAAATGTGCCAGAGTGCAAGGAAAGCAGGCACTCTGATCCCCGCCAGGGTAGCTTCTGCACCTCTGGGATGTAATGGATGTGCATGCCGAAACACGTGTGCGGTCCGCGCGGCTGAACCAACATGTATCCATAAACACTGTGAATAATACTCGCGAGAATCTGTGGCTTTCTCCTAAGACGCGCTTGGAGCACTTCCCTCAAGTCGTGTCACTTTCACACCACCCCTTCCTCGCCTTTCTTGAGTGTCTACCCATGTGCCCGCGACTGGGAGTCTAACCCCAAGTCTGGACGGAGGGAAGTGACTCCTGGCCCCTTCCCGTTAGCCCAGAGCCGCAGTCCCGCAGGGGCGCCGTCCAGGCGGGCGTCCTGGGGACACCTGCACCCGCACACACCCTCCGCCGACGCGTCACCAGGCAGCGGCCACCTGGGAGAGGGCCAGACTCCGGAGGGAATTCCCTGCGCCGCGGCGCACGGGGAAGCGGACCGGCGAGTTCCGAGGCCGGCGGGACCCCGAGGGGCGGGGACACTACTCACCCAGCCCTCGAAGGTGTCCGAGGTGCCCGCCGTGCGCAGCAGCTCCTGGAACTGCAGGGTGCAGTTGGCCACGAAGTGGTCGTAGCCCAGGGGCGTCTCGTGGAACACGGCCAGCTCCAGGTGGCCGCCGTCGGTGACGTTGGCGCAGAACTCCTCGTTGTACGTGGGCTTGTTGGTCTTCTGCTTGGTGCTCGTCTGGCCCACGCGCACCTGGTCCACGCTCACCGTCAGGTAGGGGTCCAGCAGCTGGTGGCCCTTCTTGAAGAGCGAGTGGCGCAGGGACCAGCGGGTGGGCTGCAGCCCCACGGCCTCGCCGATGCGGACCCTCAGGTAGCCGTTGAACTTCATGGTGCCGGACGACATTCCGGCGCCGCCGCCGGCCGCGCGGGGAGCGGGGAGCGGCTCAGGCCAGCCCTCGCGGCGGCTCCGGGGGAAAGCGGCG